TTACTGAGCTGAGACAGGAATCCCTCCCCCAATAAGTCCCCAACACAAGAACACCCAAAGTCTCCATATAAACACAGAACAGAACAATGGAGACAGCAGTGTTTACACAGCAAAAAAGGTTGCCCACGCTAAAGTGAAAACAACACAGAGACGGTGCAGAACCAAGAGAAAAAAGTAAAAGACCTACCAACTACCTGCCAACTTCACATTCAGTCAAGAACATGTGCAATGTAAAAAAATATATAATAAAATAAAACGAAAATATAATCCAGAGTGACAAAAATATAAATATATGTATGCCTTGTATCAACATAAGTGTTACAAATGGTCATTAGTTTTTTTTTTCCCCTTCAAAGGGTAATTAGTTTTTTTTTCCTTCAAAGGGTCATTAGTTTTTTTGTTGTTTTTTTTCCCTTCAAAGGGTCATTAGTTTTTTTTTTCTTCCTTCAAAGGTTCATTAGTGTTTGAACATCAAAGAGTAACAGTGACCCAGCAAATATTAATCCACTGTAATATTACCAGTAGTCCAGCAATATAATATTGCAGAGAAAGGCAATATAAAAGTAATCATATTCACCCAGAAATTAAGGTTTGAACGTATTCTTTGGCCTCATCTGCTGAGGTAAAGTCCTTCTCAACATCTTTGAAAGTGATGCGGAGACGTGCTGGATAAATTAGTCCGTAACAAGCACCGTCTATGCCGCGAAGTTGTTTCCTGACCTCGTTGAACGCAGCCCAAGCCCGGGCCACCTTGGCAGTGTGATCCGGGCACACGGAGAACGTCATATCTCTGAGTTTAATCTGACGCAGCTCTCTCGCCCGGCGTAAAATGTCAACACAGTCGCTGTAGTAGTGAAGCCTACATACAATGGCTCGTGGTCGTTCATTTGGCTGCGGCTTTGGTTGAAGGGTCCGATGTGATCGATCCAAAAGCGGCTCCTTTCAAAAGCGAACGCTTCCTTCAGCAAGGCAGATACCACAGCGGTGTCACAAGAGCCGGGGCCCTCGGGAACTCCCACTATTTTAATGTTGTTACGCCGTGATCTGGATTCTAAGTCCTCGCATTTATTTTCAAGCTTGGCAACGTTGGCAGTCAGGCTACTGATTGTTGCTTTCATCGCAGCAATGTCGTCGGAACATTCAGATAGTGCATTTTCCACTTCTCCCACGGTGCACTTGAGCTCAGCTAATGTAGCATCAGTAGCTGCTTTATTGTTCGCGAGCTGTGTTTTCACAGTTTGTAAATCAAGCTGGATAGTCGACAAAGAATCCCCGAGCGACTCCTGCAACTGCTTTTTTATTATCTCGGCGATGTCTTCTTTCAGCGATGTCATTAGCTCCAATTTAAGGGTAGCAGCGTCAGGGCTAGCCTGCGCCTCGGCCGAAGCTAGCGGCTCACCTGAAGGCGTGGCTGCGGTCTGTAAACTAGGCCTCAGTTGCATCTGGATAGTATTACGTGTTTTCGTATTCCTTCCTGACATCATGAAGTGATCCAAAGTTAAAGTTCTTTCACAAAAAGTGTTGAGAAGTAAAAATAATACAAAAAATATGACGAAAAAACGCACATGAATAACAATATTAACCGAAGTTGGCAGGAGCTCCCGAACGCACGTCTTACTCCATTGAAGCCCAGCAGCCGCCCCCTGAAATCTGCTTCTACCGGTTTATCCCCCTTTCAAGTATCCATAGGTTATCAGCCTCCACTCTTCCCCGCAGACGAGAGAGAGATCACTGTCAGATCAGTTCATCATCACATCCGTCGTTGCCAACGCATCTGGAAAGAGACCATCACCACCCTCACCCGCTCATCTACCTCAACTAAGAGGTTCGCCGACTCCAAGAGGCGTCCGGCCCCTGACTATGCCCCAGGCCAAGAGGTTTGGTTATCTACTCGAGACATTCCCCTTAAAGCCATGTCCAGAAAACGTTCACCCCGGTTCATTGGTCCATACAAAATTGATCGGATAATCAACCCCTCTGCCGTCCGCCTGCACCTGCCATCCTCTCTGCGCATCCATCCCACATTCCATGTCTCCCCGATAAAACCTGTATTCACAAGTCCTTTGTGCCCGCCTTCCGACCTTCCTCCGCCCGCCCTTGACATCGACGGCCATCCGGCCTACACTGTTCGCCGGATCGTGGACTCCCGTCGGCGAGGTCGCGGATGGCAGTACCTCGTCGACTGGGAGGGCTGCGGTCCGGAGGACCGCACCTGGGTTCCCGGCTCATACATCCTCGATCCGTCCCGGATCGAGGAGTATGAGAGTTCCCTCCCGTCCACTTCCTCAGGACCGCCAAGCGGCGGTCGTTGAGAGGGGGGTACTGTTGGGATCTGGAGAAGTACCACCTTTCTCCAGCAGAGTGCGCCGTGGGTCTCCTGGGCTGGAGCCCTCCTGCACACCTGGAGCTCGTCAGCTCATCAAGGAGACCTTCTCTACTTAAAGGAATAGTACACCCAAAACATGATTAGCCTTCATTTTCTACTCACCCCCATGCTGAACAACACTCTGGAGTACTTTTTTGATATCTCAAATGCATCTGGAGATCTGGGAGGCTTCTTGCTGTCTGCTGACATTCAAATAATGGAGGTCTATGGCGCCCGAGGCAGAAAGGTCCACAAAAGTCCACAAAAACGTGTCAATATTCCTCCATACTGCTCGTCCAATGTATTCCAAGTGTCCTGAGTGGGTAGCATCCAGAATTTACTCGAAACGAAGTCATTTAGAACGTTTTAGAGCATAAACAGTAGTGTATAGGATTTCCTAATAGCGCCCCCATGCGCGCTCACGATTCTACGGAAACCGTGGCAGACCAAACCGGAAGAAAGTGCGCATTCAACGTCTGCTCTGCCGATAATGCAAGCGTAGAAGAAGAAATGTGCTGTTTACCTGTGCAAAGAAAGAAACAACGAAAGAAAAATGTCTGAGGATTTCTGCGTTGAGGAAGGGCTTGTGTTCTTTGTCGAGCCTTTTCTCTATGAACCAGAATACACAGATGACGAACTTAGAGACATGGATGAGGCAGCCGCAGCTCAAGCTGAGCCGCAAACACCGTTGTGCTACAGACGTAGAGCGTCAGAAACATGGTGGTGTAAATGTGGAAATTGTCAAGCAATGCCAACAGAAGAGGAGAGCATTTGCTGTGTGGACTGGGACTTGTTGATGCCACCACTGGAGGTTCTAAATATCTCCACTGATGAGACCGAGAGCACTAGCCAAAGACTTTGTGTCACCCAAAACACGGATTATCCACCATTACTGACCCGTGGCGTTCTGGAGATGTTTTTCCATGTGCCCAAAATCAATTGGAAAAAGAGGCCAAGACCCGCAGGACCAAACAACACGCTCTCTGCAGAGTAAGTTTTGTGCAACAGGCCTATGCCTTGCTAATAATATTATTATATATATCATATATATCATATATATATGATATATATATATGATATATATATATATAGATATGATATATTATATATATGATATATATATATATATATATATGATATATATATATATATATATATATATATATATATATATCATATATATATATAGATACATAATGTTAATGGTACTCACTGTGCAGTTTTTTGTATGTGATGCTAGTACTAAAGTCTGTTTACTCAGCATCTTACCCAGGTTGTGTCCTGGATGAGATACTGCTTTCTTTTTCACTTGTATTGCTAAAATAATGGCTCCATTTTACCCCCCCCCCCCCCCCCCCCCCCCCCTCCCCCAGTCAGTACAGGTTGGTGGCCTACCGTGTGGTACTCGAGTGGATTCTGAAAGGCGAGAGACTTGGCAAGGACAGCAGAAGAGTTTTACCTGCCTGTATTGTTACAAGCATCCATCCCAGCTACCCTTCACCAGATGGAGTGTATACTGGTTTCAAGGAGGCAGAGGCAGCTTTTGAACAGTTGTAAAGACTATAAACAAATCCTAAGAGACTCTTGCATATTAATTTGTACTACTTCATTATATTTCATATTTTTTCCCAAATCACAAACCTATACTGCCTCATTATAGATAACATTTCAGAATTTATGTAGCCGATAACTGTAACCTTTCCTGGACTATTGTGTTGTTTTGGAAATAAACAAAATGACTTTGGATGGTAAGAAAGATGTAACTCTGTTCCTTTGATTAAATATTTATTCTAGACCTAAGTGTGAAATGCAGACAAACCAACCACAGACACATGCCATTTTATTTAAAAATGTCATGTCATAACTATATTAAGTAAACCCCTTATCAGACTCTGTATCCCAGAATTTTGAAAAAAAAAAAGGTTAAAATTACATGCCACCAGCTAGACTTTTTATTTGCATAAGTACAAATATAAAAAGGCAAGAGTAAAAATACTGCACCACTCAGACTAACTGCTGTATCGGGAAGTATGTTTTTGTATGGCTTCCTCTTTGGCAGGTTTTGGTTTCTGAGCAATGTTTTCTGGTATGGGAGGGATAGAAACATATGACTGGGGGTCTTTGATCTTGATGTTGGGGTCCAGGCGTCTCCGCACAACTTGCACCACCAGATTTTGCCGGAATGTTTGTGTTGTTGGAACATAGATCTTTTTGGCGACCCATTCTTTTGTTTGTTTTGGGTAAACCACATTGAACCGTGCTTGTCCTAAAAAACAAAGAAGAAAATGTAAGACAGAGGAAACATTAATGAAATAACATAGCTATTATAAAGCATTCAAAAAGTTTCGGTTTTAGGTTTCAAAAAAGGAACCAAGAAATTGTATCCAAATAATTAGGAATCTGGTACTTGTAATTTTGTGGTGGTGAGAATTAGGACCATAAAGTACCATATTTGTTATGCAGATCTTAGTGCAGCAGCTCACTAAACAGGTGCGGTTCCCATTGAAGGTTAAATGTAATGTTTGCTGTTTTTTTCAATACAGCTCATTTTGAGGACATAAATGAGTATATGACACTGAGCACAGCGCACAAGGTTAGGTTTTTTTGTTTTGAAGATACTTTCTTGTTACCTGTGTTGGTGTAGGCCTGTTCACGCTGAACATTTTCATTGTGGTCCATAACGGCAAGCTGGGTGCGAGCTTTCATTGTTGAGTAGTGGAAGTGCAGTCTCTTCTCTGTGTATTTCAGCATAGATGCATGGAATACTTCAAGCTTCCCTGAGAAAAAATAATAATGACAAGTTCACTAAATATTTAAAATTTTGAATTCCTCATAATTATTGTGCTTTCCTCGTTATATTTACCAGAATGTTTGAAAAGGGCCATTTGCCTAAGGTCTTTCATGAGTCCTTTGTCCAGGGCAATAGCTGTCAGGGCTTTGAAAGCGTAAGAGTCTCTCCTTAACCACCTCTTTCGCCTCTGTTCCTCTGACGTAAGGTCAGCATGCACACATTTAATCTCCTGTCCATCTTCCTCCCTGCGGTGCACACCACAGATGTGATGAAGTAGTGCTTTCCACTTCCTTATCAAATCCTGAGGATATTAGAAAATTACAATTCAGTATCAAAGAGAGTCAAAGGATTGTGTCAAAGACTATCAGTTATTATTATCATAACTTTATGTTGCCTAAATGTGAAGAATGTGATGTTACTCACATCAGGGTCACCTCCACAAGTGGAACAGGCGTACCACAAGTGATTGCAGATGGATTTTATCCATGGTTGCAGGTCTCGGTTGTCCTTTTTGTTGGATGCTGACAGCAATTTTTTCATGAGCCCTACCAAAAGCAGAACAATCGTCAATGAGTCTCAAGCAAGCATAAAATATGGCAACTGGAGTAAACGTGTGAGTAGAAGATGTTTTGTCTCTCATCCAAGAAACTTATTCCTTTATAAAATACTCTGGTTGGGGAGTACAAGAAATGTATCCACCAGGTGTATGGCGGCAACGTCACTGAGGTGGCACTAAACGTTAGACAGGACATGTTGTTCATACAGGTGGATCAAAGAGTTTGGGAAGGATCAAGGGAACCAGGTGTTAGAGACAATATTGCTTTGTTGTTTCGAAAAAAAGAAAGGAGTGTGAGCTTTTTAAAATATTTAATTTCCCTTCTGGGATAAATAAAGTATTTTTCATTTAATTTAATTTTAACGACAATGGGGAGCTCAGGGCTCAGAGAGTGTAGGTGATTGGAGATGTACAGTCCCAACAGACTGCACTTCTGCACATGGGTGACGTCAACATAGTCTTGGTGGGTATGAAGTACAAGGTGGGAGCAGGTAATAGAGGAGTGTGGGATCACAATGGGGCTGTGTATAACCTAGGCAGGTGCCAGCGCTTTGGCAAGGGAGGGGTAAATTATGTAAAAGTTTATGTGGCTGTACAAGGGCTATCCAAAGTATATTGTAAAAACATTTTCCTCATTATAGGAATTCCTTTACCATTGTACATTTACAAATTACAATTTGTCAGCTTACCCTTGACAACATGCCAGATGTCAAACTCATGGTGGATTTCCGGATACTCTTCGCGCATAATTTTTCGTATAGATGGTGATCGGTCAGTGGTTACCACCTCCACTTCAAGACCTTACTCAAGGAGATAATCAAGTCCTCTCCTGAACCCCACTGGCTCCATGGCAGCAGAGCTGGATGCCTCTGTCACCTGTACCACAAAACAAAAAATTTATGTTTAAAATCATTTTCATACATCTTTGATGGGACAGTGCTTGTCATAATCCGATAGCAACATTGATTTTGTAATATGTTCCACATATTACACATACATTTATTTACTTCTTTAATTTCATTCCGCACATGATGAAAATGAGAAACATTACCCCAAAAAAAGGAAGAAAAACAACATAATAAATGCACCAAAATTGATAATAAATACAATAGATAATAATAATATTTAAAAAAAAGATACAATAAAAAAAGAAAACTGAAAATAGATAAATATAGAAATTAAAAAAATAATGTAGGCTACATTTATCAAATTGAAGAACGAAAACGAGTGGGATTAAGTACAAAACCAAATTCAATCCCACCCTTAAAAAAAAAAAAAACATATACATAGATCACAGTCTTCCGCTTCACAATTATTATTTGCCAATTAGAATGACCAAAATCCAAATAAAACTACACAATATATGCATATGTATCTTTGTGCAGTCAATTTGTAAACACACAATTGACAATTGTTCTCATATTATGTTGTAATATGAAATATGAAATAATAATTTCCCTTACCTGCACTAACTGAAAAAGGATTATTTCCTTTGTTGTGTCCTCCATGAAGCTGTAGGTGTTGTATTTTGCGGAGAAGCCTGGGCTGTAAAGACAAAAAGATAAATAGGCTATCAAATCCAATATTACATCAATTACTCTAACGATAACTTCAGATAATCAAGAGTTAAATATTTGTCATTCATTATAAATAATATACTAACCTGTCTGATCGGCCATCTCCAGATACATGCACTCCCTTTTTCAGAGTATACTGTTTATGCAGTAGCTGTTCCATGATGGCCTTGTGCTGCTCGTTGTACACCATGTCGATGACTGGGATTAGATATGAAGACTGTATTTTGTAATATGTTGTATTGTTGGGAATTTGGAGATTCAGCAGTCCAGCCCAATCAGCAATTGTTGTGTACGTGGCACCAGTGAAGAGAGTTGACGCTGCTACAAGTAGATTATTCTCTGGCATCCCTCTAACATCTGGACAGGAACTCCACTCATCACTATGTTGATTCAGACACTCCCACAATCTTTTGATACGGCTCCCAGATATCTGAACATTTTTTTGAATGATTTCTGTTCCACACTGATGGCAAGTCTTGAAAAGCTGAAACAATTTTGACTCGTCAACCAGCCATTTCCTCTCATCCCAGGTTCTCAAGTCTTCAGTTTCTTCTGAGGTTGGAGTTGAAGTTGATGTTGAGCTTGGAAGAGCAAAACTGGTGTCTTTTGGGTATAGAGGAACAACAATTGAGGTCATGCTGACATCCAAACCTTCCTCCAAACGTTCCTCTGCCATCTGAGCTTGCATATCCTAAAATCAACAAAATAACCATTAGACTTGTTGAGAAGTTATATTTACTTGCTTTAAGCCACACATAAGCCAAAACTGTAACTACTAGATTTGCCATAGCAGCCAGTGGGTGAGTACTTACAGTTTGAGATAACCATGTGGGGGGGAAGGCATGATAACTGCCAGATGTGGATGGACATGTGCGTTCTTTGGTTGTTTCAGGGCTTGTTAGGACCAGCTGCAGTCTTGCATGAGAGTGCTCAGGTCGATCACCGGGTTGTTTTGGTTTAACTGGAGTGGAGTGTGGCACACCATCAAAAGAAGTCTCAATGTTGGCTGTCTCATTCACTGCAGCAGCAGGATGTTGTGAAATGCCCTAGAAACAAACACTATTATTAATAATAAAAAATAATCATGCTATGATTTCATATGAGCAAATAAAAGTTGCAGCATCTAAGAAAGACTTTATGTGGCAATGAATGTCATTCATTTCACTTTTTTATTTATTTATTTATGTATTTTAAATCATGGATCACATTAGTATTTCCCTGGGTGCTAAAAGTTGAGTTATTATCATCCAGATTTTTATTTTTTATTAACTCCTAAACACTAACAACTTGCAGGCCATCAATGATCACATTGATCGATCACAAAATTAATATAATGTCACACTGAGCTGTGGAGCGGGTGTTTGTCAATAGGTGGGTTGTACATACATACAGTGTAAAAAAAATCGTCTGATAACAAAGCAACTAAAATAACATGACTTGTAAAAAATTCCATGATTGTCCAAATTGATGTGGAAGTTAACATTTTTACTCAAGTAATATTAGCGTGTTTTAACATTTTAACGTTTTTTTTAAAAAGTACCGGTAAAAATACAGATCATATACAAACGTGTAAGTTACATAAATGGTTTATAAAGTACATACCTCTGTCCTTAGTTGTGACACCATCGGCACAGCTGTACTCTTTAATAAAGCTCTTCCTTTACAGGTTCGGAAATCATCCGCTGAAAAATGTTCACTACAGACACGGAGAGAATCCACGTTAGCTGTCCTTAGATCTTTTCGTAGAGCTATTAGCCACAGTTTTAGCCTTTCAGGGTCCCGAAGAGCTAATTTGTGGAAAGTTACGGAATGGGTTATTCCACACTTGCGCTTCATCTGATTGAAGCATCCAGGATAGGAACACACTCGAACCATCTTCTTAATTTCACGACTAAAATCACTAATCAACAACTTTTTCAAACTCTGAGAGAGACTGACCTCGTGCTCACCTGGCTCAGGGCAGAAAATAAACAGGTGAAAAGCTGAACTTCTTCTTCTACGCTTGCATTATCGGCAGAGCAGACGCTGAATGTGCACTTTCTTCCAGTTTGGTCTGCCGCGGTTTCCGTAGAATCGTGAGCGCGCATGGGGGCGCTATTAGGAAATCCTATACACTACTGTTTATGCTCTAAAACGTTCTAAATGACTTCGTTTCGAGTAAATTCTGGATGCTACCCACTCAGGACACTTGGATTACATTGGACGAGCAGTATGGAGGAATATTGACACGTTTTTGTGGACTTTTGTGGACCTTTCTGTCTCGGGCGCCACAGACCTCCATTATTTGAATGTCAGCAGACAGCAAGAAGCCTCCCAGATCTCCAGATGCATTTGAGATATCAAAAAAGTACTCCAGAGTGTTGTTCAGCATGGGGGTGAGTAGAAAATGAAGGCTAATCATGTTTTGGGTGTACTATTCCTTTAAGCAGCTGCCAGACCTTCCTTCAACGCTGCAGTGTTGACCAAGTTTGGTTAGCAAACCTGAGCCTCTGTGATTACTAGAATCTTTGTCTCCCAAGAGAAACCCAATTCTAACCAGCCTCTGTCTTCTCACTCACAGGAAACCTGTCTCTTGTCTGAAGCTCTGGATGGGCTTAGCCTGTTACCTGCCTGCCTGCCCTAGAGAGCCAAACCTGAAGATCTCACTCTGGAATCCACCTGCTGCTCTCAGGGAAAGAGCTGATCAGCTAAACCAAGGTCTGTCACTGGAAAGTCAGAAGCTAGACGCTGCTGCTGCTGAGCACTCTGCTGAACCAACAGTCTCTGGACCCAACCGGTTCCCTCTCTCAAGGAGAAAAGCCTGAACCTCTTCAAGGTATTTCCAGAAACATCTGAAACTCAACAATTCACCTGTTTAACTGGCTAATCAAACTATCCGTCTCTGCAGACGCCAGAGAATCCTGCCCGGACCAGTTTCCTGAATCCAATCCATATTATTGTTTGTGAAAACTTTCAATAAACTCTGTTGAACTTTTTATCAGTCTCCAGTGGTGTTCTGCATGTGGGTTTAATCCCTAAACCAACCATGACAATAACATGGCCCAAACAACAGACTTGTTTCTGCACCCGCTAAAATTTTTATAACTAGTTTTATACTGGAGCGACTTCCGGTTTGGGTCATGAAGGAGTAGGCAGCAAGTGTGAAGAGCTCTGACCCAATATCTAACTTATGAGACCAAACCTTATATATTTACCACAGAATTGACGTATCTTATACACATTGCCGTTTTGGACGACTTTGGCCGCTTAATGGCTACCTCCAAGCAAAAACAATCCTCCTCGATAACGACGCGGAACGCCATTGCTAGCAAGCCAGCCACCATGGCTTCCGACGCTAGCCCTTCCAAAGGCGATGGATTAACTATGACCCAGCTAGTACAAGAGTTAGCCAAGCAACGAGAAAGTTTAAAAGAAGACATCTCCACCCTCATTCAAGAATCACTGGTGCCGTTACAAGCTTCGGTGAGTGCTCTGACAGAAACGGTGGGCTCTATACAACAACGCCTAACCGCTTCAGAATCACTCGCGGGCGATAATTTCGAGAAGATATGTGCTGCCGAATCTGCCGTTAAAGCTTTAAAAGGCCAAAATGCTGAACTCTTGGATCGTATTGAGGATTTGGAAAACAGGTCACGCCGCAACAACCTGAGGATTATAAACATTCCAGAAGGCAGTGAAGGTGTGGGGAATACTGTTAACTTTATGACGAATGCACTAATGGAGATCACCCGCAGCAACGCACTCTTCGACTCAGCCCCGGTGCTGGAGAGAGCACACAGGGTGGGCGCAAAACCCAGCGACACTAGCCGTCCTCCGCGCCCGTTTGTGGTATGCTTTCAAAGACACCAGGAGAAGGAACGGCTACTGCAGTGGGCAAGACAGCACACAAGCACCTATCAGGGCGCTACACTGAGAATATACCCTGACTACAGCGCTACTCTGTCGAAGAAACGCGCTGGATTTAACAGCGTTAAACAAACACTCTACGAGAAGGGGATCAAGTTTCGCTTGCGATATCCAGCTAACCTACGAGTCTTCCATAAGGGGAAAACCCTCGACTTTAACACTCCAGAAGAAGCACGAGCTTACTGCAATCAGCTGGTGGCTGGGGAAGGGGACTGATACGGTCCAGTCGGGTCGTACGTACCTGGTGTGTGGTCACCCTCTTACTGCTTGGAGGACGCTCTGACGCGTATGTGAACTCTTGCCAAAGTCTATTTTGGGTAATTTAATTGTTTTTGAGAATTTTGGATATTCTATTATTCTTTACCTATATAATTAACATAACTGATTATACATTAACGGTATGTTTAACGGTATGGCTTTACTTTTATTTTATTTTATTTTTTTAATACCGAAATGGTTTCAACTAATATATACCATCCCTGGTAAAAGGTCCTAGGCTCTTCACTAGTTAAGAGAAGAGTGTGTATCGGAAGGTTCAGGAGTTAGAAGAGAACCTGCAGTCTGTCCATGTTCCGAGGACAGGCATAGGATATGTTAAGTTTGGGGTTAAAGGGAAAGTTATCTTTAAGAAGGGGGTGGGGTGGGGTGTGTTTTTTTTTTTTTTCCTTCTTTTTCTTGGGGACGTTCATCATGCTTTTTATTTTTGAAGATGTCATATGTCACACAACATTGATAGTGTTAGGGCAGATATAGGTGTAACTCCAACACGTTTCATTACCTGGAACGTGAGAGGGATGAATGGGCCTAACAAGAGAGCAAAGATCTTCTCTCACTTAAAGAGGCTGAACGCAGAAATAATATTTTTACAGGAAACTCATTTGAAAATAGCAGATCATTTCAGGCTTAAGAGGAATTGGATTGGACAGATTTTCCACTCTAACTTTAACAATAAGGCACGAGGGGCAGCCATCCTGATCCACAAAAAAACATTGTTTACACCATCTCGGGTAATCTCTGACCCCCAGGGACGATTTGTGATAGTATCTGGGACGCTGTTTAACTCTCCTGTAATTCTAGCTAGTATTTACGCTCCGAACTGGGATGATGTGGGCTTTATACACAAATTCACTTCTCTTCTCCCAGACCTTAATAGACATAGTCTTATTCTATCAGGGGACTTCAACACGGTTATGGACCCAGCTATGGACCGCTCTAGCCCTAGAAACTTATCCCGCTCTAAAATGTCTCTTGCTCTTGGTGAGTTTGCTGAAAAGGCAGGTTGGGTTGACCCATGGAGGTTCTTTAATCCTAACAAAAAAGAATTCTCCTACTTCTCACATGTTCACCACACATACAGTCGTATCGATTTTTTCCTCATTGACAAGACACTTCTCCCTTTTACAAAGAGAATTGAATACAATACTATTGTTGAATCTGACCATGCGCCGGTCTCCCTAGATATTTTGTTCTCTCAAAATATCACACAAACAAGAGTTTGGAGATTAGACACATCTTTGCTATCAGACAGTCATTTCTGTGAATTCATTGGTAAAGAGATAGATGAGTTCATATATTTTAACAGATCTGATTCCATATCCCCATCTATATTGTGGGAAGCACTTAAAGTAGTTATAAGAGGGAAGATAATTTCTTATTCTATTTCACGGAGTAAAGAAAGAAAGCAAAGAGCAAACGATCTCTTAGTATCGTTAAAACAAATCGACCAACAATATTCTATTACTCCAACACCCGACTTATATAAGGAAAAGGTTACATTGACGACCCAATATGATCTTTTGTCTACAGAAATAACTGAAAAACACCAACTTTGGTTAAAAGGACAATATTATGAACATGGGGATAAGGCAGGCCGTCTTTTGGCCTATCAACTTAAATGTAAGTCTGCGTCCCGTCTAATACCTCAGATACGTAATACTCCACAATCCCTTACCGTTGACCCAATAGAGATAAACAACACCTTTCAGGATTTTTATTCTAAACTGTACACATCTTGTCCCCCGCAAGATAAATCCAAAATGATTGGCTTTTTAGATAATATTAATATACCACAAGTAGATGCACAAGTCAAAGGCAGCCTTGAAGAAACCATAAAGCTACAAGAGATTATAGATTCCATTCATAAAATGCAGAATGGCAAATCACCTGGACCTGACGGTTATACCGTTGAGTTTTATAAAAAAATTTTCTCTTCAACTTGCTCCCCTGCTACTTGAAATGTTTAATCACTCATTTAATCAGAACCATTTACCACAAACTCTAACAGAGGCTTCCATTTCACTTCTTTTAAAGCCAGGCAAAGACCCAAATGATTGTGGCTCATATCGACCTATATCTTTGCTTAATGTTGATGTCAAAGTTTTAGCCAAACTGCTAGCATCAAGGTTAGAGAATGTTGTACCCAACATCGTCTCAACAGACCAAACTGGTTTTATAAAGGGTCGTCAGCCTTTCACAAATATTCGCAAACTTTTAAATGTCCTCTATTCCCCTGCGTCTGGGGAGATTCCTGAAGTAGTTGCCTCTCTGGACGTGGAAAAGGCATTTGACCGAGTGGAATTTAATTATTTGTTTACTGTACTGGAAAAATTTGGCTTTGGTTTAAATTTTATAACCTGGATACGCCTGTTATATACATCACCCAAAGCATCTGTCCTTACAAATAAAATATCTTCCCATTTTTTTTCTCTCTCAAGGGGCACACGCCAGGGGTGCCCTCTAAGCCCACTCTTATTTGCATTAGCTATCGAGCCTCTATCAATAAAATTAAGAACAACCCCCAATTTTCTCGGTATTCGCAGGTTTGATACTGAACTTAAAATTTCTTTATATGCTGATGACTTACTGTTGTATATTTCTGACCCAGTGTCATCTATTCCCACTATTGTCAATATTCTTAATGACTTTGGAAGTTTTTCAGGTTATAAATTAAACTATTCTAAAAGTGAATG